GGTCCTTCGTGCTTACTTCTGTTATATTTGAAGTTTGTTTTTCTAATTAACATTACTTTAAACTCCAGGAAAAGAAGGGTCCTTCGTGCTAACTTCTGTTATATTTGAAGTTTGTTTTTTTAATTAACATTACTTTAAACTCCAGTAAAAAAGAAGGGTCCTTCGTGCTAACTTCTGTTATATTTGAAGTTTGTTTTTCTAATTAACATTACTTTAAACTCCAGGAAAAGAATGGTCCTTCGTGTTTACTTCTGTTATATTTGAAGTTTGTTTTTCTCCATTTTGAGTTTCATATTTTAGTAACTGCTGTTTCTTTTGAGGTTTCAACTAATATTTATGTAGCTTAAGTTTCACACAATCTGCCTATGTCTGATCAAACAACTTTTACAAACCAAAATAACCAACAGCAACATAAATATTTTCATACTTAAAAGTATACATTCAGTAAAATTATTAAATACTTGCCTGAACTATGATATTAAATATTCAAAGCTAACATCATACTATGAATAAAGCTGGAATATAATTGCAACTTGCACTTCCAAAACCTTATTTGCATTAACTGAAGGAGTGATACTTACTGTACGAAATAACTCTACCTTGTTTTTTTTATCATTAGTTTAGTAAATTATTCTCATAATAACAAACATTTAAGTTTATAGTTACTGAGTATACACAGTTTTACTGCAATACATAAATAGATTTGAAACATCAAATAACTCGATATGTTTTAAAAGGCACAATAATTTTATCTTCAGAAATTTTTATTATAGTAATAATGTCACTGGCATTGTAAAAAAATATATTGTAATGTAATTTTATTTACTTCTGCTATTTATTTGTTTGTTTTGGTAGTTAATAATCTGGTTCTTTATTAGTTATATTGTGCTAGTACAAATAATTAGTTTGATTAGAAAAAGAGAATAACTTAATATATTCATTATTGAAAAATTAATATTAGGAGCAGGTTAAAGGTTGAGGAAAACCTACTTTTTAGACACCTTTTTCAGGATTACTCGTCTTTTTTTTTTGTATTTTATATACTCATGAAAATGCTGGAACAGTAAGTACATACATTTCTAGTCAAAGTTATTGTTTTTTAACTGACATTCACTAGATTTTCAGATATTTTGATTTGTATTCCTTCTTTTAAATTTTAACTCCTCCAAAGCAGCTCAGTTTGATTCAGTGTTTTGAAATTTTTTATCAACTAACATTACTATTATTGATTGGTGTGCATGGGGGGAGGGACACTGGAGCTTTCATTGGTTCTTCTTAACAATTTCAAAAACTCGTACGCTTGGGTAGGCTAGAGTAACATTTGGGGTGCATGGCCCACTCCCCAGCAACCTTCTTTTTCAGTGATAATTTACATAAAAAATTTGTTTTATAACAATACATTGTTATACACACATACTTTAAAATGTTGTATAATTCATTTAATACTTCAACATTTTGTATCACTTTTCAGGCATTTTTATAGTGTGTTTAAGTTTAATATTAATTGATTGTATAATATAAAATATCTGTGATGAATTGGCATCCCATCCAGGGGGATTGAGTCACCATACTCATCCACTTAAAAACACGGATCCCTTGTAACATGGCAAGGATTTAACTGAACTAACTAACAAACAATATAAAATAATCGAAAGGTTTGAATTTGTTCATAGAAGGCTATAAAAGAAAAAAAAACATTTATGAAGTCATGCAACATGAATTTAAGATACGATATATTTTATTGAAAATATATATACTAAAATGAACTCTTATTAGCCTCATAAGCAACTTATCCTAAAGTACTGACCATTACAGTTATTTCACTTGTATCAACTTATACTAAAATATTGACCATTACAGATATATTTTATTGAAAATATGTATACTAAAATTAACTCTTATTAGCCTCATAAGCATTTTTAGATGTTAGATTGTTAGATGTCTCCTGCAGCTTACTTGGTAACTATTAATATATTCTTGTGTTTTCTAAAGGTGGTCGTTAGATGTCTCCTGCAACTTACATGGTAACTATTAATATTTTCTTGTTTTTTAAAGGTGGTTGTTAGATGTCTCCTGCAACTTACATGGTAACTATTAATATTTTCTTGTTTTTTAAAGGTGGTTGTTAGATGTCTCCTGCAGCTAACATGGTAATTATTAATATTTTTCTTGTGTTTTCTAAAGGTGGTCGTTAGAAGTTTCCTGCCACAGCTGAAGTAATCCACACAAAAAGACGTAGAATCATTTTGATATATCTCTATAGTAAGGACCAACAAGGGTCGGGCTGTGCTGTTTCTGGCCACGATGATGTATAGTCTTTTGTGTTTAGCTACATAATAGACTTGACTGAAAAGTGTCATGTGATTGACACTACAAGTACCTCGTGAAACCTTGAGTTCATTATATAAAAGTGTTTCTAATGGACAAGCTCACTTCAGCAGGAAGGGGTGGTCTGTTTGAAGTGACAGAATTTCTCTACATGTTTCTTTTTTTTCCTATACAAATATTTCTTCATGGTTTCTATTCTCTTTGTATAAAGTTAAACTGTAGTGGCAGACTTACATGCCTATAAACTGATGTTTTTTTGATGTACAAGTCTGATGACTTTTTTTAATTGGTGTTTGGTAATTGTAAGTTGTTCTTGTATGTGGGTATAAATGTTTATAAAAGTGTATAAACCTTCAGGCTAATAGAAGTTTTTATTTCTTGCTGAAGAAATGTACAAGTCATATACATAAAATAAATCTGCATGTAAACTAATAAAATAGGAAAGGGTTCTTGTTTTATATATATATACATAGATACAAAACAGCTTAGCTTAGTCAACACTTTGGTTGTAGAAGTAAAAGCTATACCTTTAGCTGCCTTTATTTTATTGCAATACTAAAATATTTATATAATTTTTTTAGTAATGAGTAGGAGTTCTTTTATTCTTGCACCATTTTGTCTTGAAGGATGTTTAAATACTGAGAGAAGAGTGGACCTGAGAGGTGACATGTCAACCAACTCTGGTTGAAATTCCCACTGTTTTAAACAAAAGGATTAAACTTATGATACTATACTAAATGTACTTATTGAAGAATGGAGGTGCTTTGATGTAATAAAACATTTCATTGGTTAAGGATTAGATGTGAACTTGTTAATTTTTGAGGAGTGATTCATGAAAAGTGTACAGTTTATTGTGTGTTCATAAGTCACTGAAGAGAATGAAGCAAATCTTATATCATGTGAAAAAGTAAAAGTAATGTTTTACTTTTCATTAAATTCAAATGATTGTCAGTGTTAACTTTTTTGATTTACACAGATTCCATCCAAGATAAGGTAGTTAATTTCAGGCACACAGTAATAGAATGAAGTGATTTCATAGTCACAGTGTAGTAAAATATAATCCAGCATGAGCTTATATGACTTGCAGTGTAACTTGAAACTTTCTAAATAATCAAAACTCTTTGCTGATGTGAAACATGTATCACAAACAATTGAATGAATTGTATCTGTTAAGATTGGTTTGTTTAATATGTTAAGCCTAAAACAGAACTAGCAGTTACGCTTGTCGAAAGCAAACTGTCAACTTCGTAATGATGGGTAATGCAATCATAGAAATCTTATTATGTTTTATAAGTTATTTGTAGTAAAAAATGTTGTTGGTTTTTCCTGAAAATGTGTTAAAGTTTAATATAAAGATTGAAAACAATATATGTACGGCACCTATGAGATTTAGAACTTAAGTAATGTGTGCATCTTATTTAAAGACAAACAAAGGCTCGCTTTAAACAAGGTAAGTGTTGGCACACAAGTTGTAAATCATCAATAAAGGTCTTGTAAAAAAAAAAGATCATAATCGTTGTTTCCAAAACTATATTAAATGAGAGTTGGTAAAAAGAAGGATCAGTTAATTACTGATGAATGATTTATCTGCTTTGCCAGTCTGTTTATGTACTCACACCAGTATATGCTTGCATTTCATTTAATATATTTTCAAGGTTCATTAAAAGGCATTAATAATATGTTCAGAAAACAGGTTAATATACCATCAACATTCAGGAATTACCAAAATTTTTAAATCCTCTACGTAAGCTCATACTGTAAATGTTTCAGGTAAATATTTTATGCTATTTCGGTTGTACTTCTATAAGGATATAATAAAGTATGTATAGAATTAGTTAATCTTCGAGGTAAAGTTGAAATATAGTCTACTTATGTTCCAGTTATGGTCATCATTGATGTGGTTTTTACCTTTAAGAAGTAATGCAACTGATGATACATTCGTTATTTTTGCTGCAAAATATATTTTTATTTTTTAAATGTCCACATTGTCAGAGATAATCATAAACAGATTTGAAAGGACTAGAAGCATCTAGTTTATGAGATGATGTGTCTGTTTTTTCAGCATCTCATAAATTTCCTGAAACTAAGAAATTTTTAAAATTAATATTTTATATTCTTTTAAGCATTTTAATTGTGTTTTTCATTTCAAGGAAGTATTCCCTGAAAAATTTGTTTTATAAACATTTTGCACAGTTTTGAATTTAGTTTTTCACTTCTTTTTTTTTTTTTTGAGCTAAAAAATTTGGTAAATTCGTTTGCACATATTATACTTGTTTGTGTGTATTAAGTGTTATTCATATTTTCTGGAATATAAAAACTCGAAATTGTCAACCACATTTTTAAAATAACTCAAATATATAAATTTTTTTTATTGTGGTACTTGTTGTCACTGTTTTGCAGTATTGAAATGAGATTGATTTTTCTTATTTTTCTCCAATACAGGATATTTAAATTACAGCAAAACATTTTATCATAGAATCACTGAGAATGTAGAATACTTGTTAGATATGCATCTTATTAAAAGATCTATGAGCATTGTAACTTTGATCTCAAGAACTACCGAGATCATTTTTAAACTTTTGCCTCTGTGGAATTTTTATTAGAGAGCTAGATATAATACTTGACTAGTTTCTTATGTAATTGCAAAGTGATGATTTTGGTGTATGTAGTCCTTAATAGTACAGTAGATACCCTAGAAGCTATAAAAAATTCATTTTTAATTTATACAAGCTAGAGGGTTGAAATTTGTAAGAAAATAGAATTTATGTTAATAGTAACATTGGAGTTAGAAACAAAGTGTATCCAATAAAGTAATAAATGAAAGCATCTTCTCCAATATTTGTAATTTTATTTATTTTAGCCACTAAAAGAATAAAAAAAATAGTTTAGGAGATTTTGTTTTATATTAATTTGACATCTTAATTGTAACTTATTTTTAATACTTCATAAAAGCTTCTGTTGCCACACAAAATGTCCACTTTAAGATATTATATGTGAATAACTTGAAAGTTATTTTAGTAGGTTTTATCTTGAATATTGGTCCCGAACTTAAAATGCTAAAATCCGGGGTTTGATTCTCCACAACGGTTTTTGTGCAGATAGCTTCCCGTGTAGCTTTGCTGTACAATACCAGCTTATATAATACAAGAATGTTTATGATATACAAAACATTTGTGTAACAAATCCCATTCCAGTAACAAGCTGGGAACTTTGTTATCTAACTATGTCAGTCGAATTAGTCCTCTGAAGTTAATTATAGAGAAGTTCATCCAACTTTTAGGTATGTCAACAAAAATGGTATCTGAGTTTCCATTTAACTTAAGGTAAACTGTAATTATATTTTAGTATGTGATAAAAATATAGGTTTTCTCTTCATATTAGAAAAGATGTGTTTTGGTTTACTTCTGGATTAAGCAAGTTGCGAGCATTAAGACTCCTCTTCAGTACCTCAATATTTTGACAAAAATCAACCCCTTTAAAGCAGTAGGTTTAATGTTAATTAAATATAGAATTGGGAAAAATATATTAAAACGTGATTAACATTTAAACATGTTTATATCCATTCAATGGCACACTTCAGTGTTCTTCACACAGCTTCTATCATTTGATGCTTCAAAGCTTTTTTTACAACTTCAGGTGTATTTTACCGTGTCAATATCTATTTATCATAAAGAGTTGCTATTGAAACATTTTGACCCTGTAAACCAAAAGTTTTGTCATTAGTACTCGTTTATTCCTCGAAGTATTGAGTTGTTATACCAGTAACATCCACGTCTTGAGAAATATTGACTGACTAAAAGAACAAACAAAAGAAACTGAATGAAATAATTTTCTTTATAAAGTGGGATTGATTGCAGTAATAAGGGTATTTTTATTTTGTAATTATTTGTCATTAAGGACAAACAGTCATAGTTAATTTGGTGGGTAACTAGTATAGAAAAATGTGTTTGAAAAGTCAGTGAGGCTCATATGTAATTCTAAGATTAACTTTAGTAAGAAAAAAAATGTATACATAATGACAGTGAAATATAGGTCTTAAAAAAACTGAAGGTCTTGTTTGTATCAGTATAGTGCCTTCAGTCACTGTCATTTATGAACATTTCTAAATTTTCACATTCTTTATTGAGAAGTCGGCAATGTGTATAGTGGCATGTTACAGTGCTCTTTTAACTGGTTATATTAAATATGTTGATCAGATTATTTGTTACCAGTGTAACTAATTACAATAACTTATCGGCATTGTATGTGTGTGGGGGGGTGATACCATAGTGATTATTATGAAGGATTTTCAAAACTTCCACAGGAACAATATGTAACTGAAGGAGATATAAGGATAATGTGTAATAATAGAGAGGTTGTAGGGGATGTAAGAATAATTTGTAATAATAGAGAGGAAAAGGAACCATGGGAGTCGTATAAGGCTCAGTTCAAAATAATTTCCATAGTGGTCAACAAGCTATTCATCTTGCTGTCTATTTAGTATGGCCAACTTTAAATAGCCTTCCAGCTGAGAGCTATAACAGCTATCAAGCATTGGTAGCTGCTTTATTCAGGAGGTGTAAAGTGACACACCAAAGAAAAGACCTTAGCTGCAGAAGGTTTGGAAAGGCTTGTTCAATTATCTTACTCGGACGCTTTACCACGTGGAATAATAGATTCATTGTCATTTGATTAATTTATAGATGTCGCAACATGCGAGGATATGGGAATTGAGTTGAAGCAAAATACGTCTACATTTTTAAAGGAAGATGTGTAGTTAGCGATGGAATTTTAATCCATTAAAGTTACAAATAGACAACTGGAGGCACCATCTATAAGTTATGGGATCATCAGATCGAATGGTATTGACACATCAACTACTCTCCCTGACGATAATCTAGAAGAACCGGAAGAATTAGATAACTAATTACACAGAATTGGAAAAATAAACCACAAGACAGCAGGTGTGTCAGATGTAATTTGAAAGAACATACTTTCCAGAACTGCAGATCAAAGCCTGTATAGAATACGAACTCCTCCCAATGGATACTAGAAAGAAGGAACCGCTATAGATGTGAGAAACCTAGCCATTTACACCCGAGGCTGTGAAGAATCAATAGCTATTAATATACCATGGAGAAAATATCCTAAAGATGAGTCTTTGAGCCCAACCAGATCAAAGGAACAACAAAGAGATAACTTCACATGACATCTTTGTGCACTACATAACAATTACTACAACAGAGACTTAACTTCTAGTAACAACAAGGAGGGCAGTCACTGTATCACAAAGAAATGAACACTCATGTCAAGATTTATTAGGAATAAATTTGCATCTAGTGGCTGAGCCATAGTACAAACAAACACTGATAATTTGAAGAACTCACGTGAATCTGAAGAATAAAGATAGCATCATTAGGTCAATGAACATACAAACCATAAAATTCGAGTCGGGGACATATTAAGATGTGAAGCTATACAGGCAGTACTTCCATATCAGATGTAGTCACCTTTGAATCAAGATGTAGGAATTCTTATATTAAATACTAGCATAAGGAGAACTTATCACCTCACTAACACGATTGTATGACCAAAGCTGTGGAGGTATTACAGCTGATCGACTGCTCATGGAATGTCAAGATACCTACTTCAATGGACCTCATGACTGAGGCCAAACATACAAAATATCTTATGAGATTGATGCTGGAGATGCAGCCTCAATACATAAGCCAGATGATTCCCACTTACAAAACAGGCAAAAGCTTTCGATGAGATAGAAGCCATGAAGGAACAATGAGATATAGAATTGAGTACTAGTTCTTAGCCATCACCTATTTTACTTGTGAAGAAAAAGGATGGGCCCACAAGGGTTTACATTGACTACCAAGGATTGACTCTACTTTGGATGCTCTTTCTGGATCAAAATGGTTTTCAACATTGGAATCTATACTAGTTGTTAGAAAGTGTAAGTTGACGAAGCCAATAGAGAGAAGACAGCTTTTAGTACAGGAAATGCATTGTGGCAGTTTTTGGTACCATTTGAATTATGTAATGCACATGCTACATATCAACAAATAATGGAATGTGGTCTCTCTGAAATGTTCTGAAACATTGTATTAATCTAATTGGATAACGTAATTTCACATTAGAAGACTTTTGATAGTGCTTATAATAGGCTATGGAAAGCTTTTGATTGGTTGAGAAAGGAGAACATAAATCTGAATCCCAAGAAGTGTGAAACCCATCAACAGCTGAGTGTCCTAGTACACATACTCAGCAGAGAATGAATGTCTACAGACTCGGCTAAGGCTGAATATTTCAGAACCTGCCAATACCAAAGAATTTGTGTGAGGTAAAATAATTTCTTCGTATACGCTCTTACATCACTCATCCTCAACAAAAATCAGTAAAGAAATCAAATAAGTATCTTAGACTGCTGATTGTAAACGAGCATTCAAGAAACTGAATAAATAATTGACCACTACTCCTGTACTAGCATATCCAGCATTTGAAAATTCACTTATTCTAGATACATATGCCAGTGATTTTGCAGTGGGTGCAACACTCTGTTTGCTCGTTTGACAAATCAAGAAGCATTTAAGTGGCTTACAGATTTTCACAATACAGAAGTCCAGCTAACAATATGGTTCCAGAAACTTAGAGTATAACTTTAACTGATATATTATTACAAATACCACGTGTTAATGAAGAATCTAAACACTGTGACAAGAGAGAAGCACAAGATAGCAAAAACTACCAATCTAATGTGCAATAGAGTATAATCCACACGTGACGATGAAGAACTAATATGGCCCTACATTCAGCTGAAAAATTCTCAGGCAAAAGATACTGTTACGCCTCCAGTCGTTAGTTGATTTTCCGTAACTTCGTTCCGACGAAACTTTAGCGACACAAGTCCTTTCTTAATAAAACTGGTTTATTCTTTCCGAATACAACTTTACGATACACTTAATTTCAACAGTCGCTCTATAACAACACTATAATTCACGTCTCACGAGGCCAACAATATTGTTACGTCTCCGTTTGTTAATTGATTTTCCGTAACTTCGTTTCGACGAAACTTTAGCGATACAAGTCCTTACTTAGTAAAACTGGTTTATTCTTTCTGAATATAACTTTACCGATACACTTATTTTCAACAGTCGCTCTATAACAAACGTTT